TCTGGATATATGTGCAGGAGTGGATTGCTGGATCATATGGTAAGCCTACTTTTTGTTTTTAAAGGGATCTCCATATTGTTTTCACAGTGGCTTCACTGAATCACATTCCCACCAATAGTGGGAAAAGTGTTCACTTTTCTCCACACCCTGTCCAGCATTTATCGTTTGTGGACTGTTTAATGGTGGTCATTCTGACTGGGTGTGAGGTGATACCTCATTGTAGTTTTGATTTGTATTTCTCTTATAATTAGCGATATTGAGCATTATTTTTTCATTTGCTTATTGGCCATTTGTATGTCTTTATTGGAGAGATGTCTGCTTAGGTCTTCTGCCCTTTTTTTTTATTGAGTTGTATGAGCTGTTTGTATATTCTGGAAATTAAGCCCTTGTTAGTCACATTGTTTGCAAATATTTTCTCCTATTTCATAGGTTGTCTTTTCGTTCTGTTTATGATTTCCTTTGCTGTGCAAAAGCTTATGAGTTTAATTAGGTCCATTTGTTTATTTTTGCTTTGATGAAAGGTGAGATTTTGAAATCCTTATTAACTCTTACATGTGGGGAGTGCTCAGATATAACATTTTCTGTGTCTACCTCCATTCTCTCATAAAACCTCACCTCACTCCCATGAAGATAGGGCAAGTAATATCAGTCCCAGTTTAGGGTTGAACAAACTGAGTTCTGGAGAGTTTGAAGGGATTCCCTCAAGATCCTACTATTGGTCAATGACAGAATGATGTCTCAGCCCACATGTGTTTAAGTTTCACTCGTTCTCTGTTCACTTAGCAGGTTCTTAACCTAGTATCTTTTGTCTGGCTTTAGGAGCTTGCCTAGGAAAATGTATATGGACGTGCATTTTTCTAGAAGGAGGATCCAAAGCTGCCATGGGATTTTCAAAGAGATGCAAGACTCAAAAATTATTAAGAACATGTTTCTTAAGAACACTCTGCCTGTTCTGTCTGGTGTAGAGCAGGTGTTCAATATTTGCATGCTGAACTGAATTGAGGATAAGTTGGGGGTGGGGAGGTGGGTCTCAGAAGGATAACACTCTCTTTATCCAGAAGAGCCCTCGGTGAGGAATGAGCCCTGTGCTACCACAGCTGAGCTCCTGGCCGTGGTGACTCAGAGAATGCATGGAGAGGTTGGGGAGCAGGCTAGGAAAATTTCATGGTGGAAGGATAGCCTGGAACCCAGGACCAACCCAACTCACCTAGAAAGGACACATCCCTAAAGAAGTCTATAGAGAAACAACTGCTGAAAGAGAGAAGTTCCTGCCCTTCTCCTGGTTGCAGAGTGTAGTGGCCAGTTAAGAGGTTCCTGGGTCTTCTCTGGATGAATGGACCCTCTAAGACTTATCAGTAAAGAAATGAAACCTTATTGAGAAGATTCCCTTCATCAGTCTGCCCAAGACTCACTACGCAGTAAGACGGAGAGGAGGGCTGAGTTTCCCAGCCTTACACAAAGACAAAAAATGAATAGGAGTCTTTGGCAAAGGAACTGAAACAAATGAGGAGATCAAGGAGCATGACTGTCAAGCCAGGTGTCATCTTGGCAACTGGACCAGCTTTCAATACCCTCATTGGGGCACCTTAAAGAACTAGACCAGTATCATGCTTTGGCATCCATTCAGAGGCCTGAAGTAAAGTCAGGACATTTTAATCCTAACAACAGAATATGACATCCCTTCTAGGCTGACAGGACACACGCTGTTAAAATGTGTAAAACCCAGTTAACTCAGGCAGTCAGAAACAAGCGTAACACCCCCCCACCCCCCAAGTCAGTCTTCCAGTTTGGGATGTTGTTGGTCTTTGTGTTTAACAGGATGTGTTTAGAGGAGAGATTTCCATGGCCACTGAATACAGAGAAGCTCGGTGCCCCAAAAAAGAATGAGGGGAAATAAGAGTCCACGTGTGTGTCCCACAGTAAACAATGAGGCCGGAAGCGTCCATCTGGAATGCAGTCAAAAAACATGACTGCCTGCTGAGATGCTGACGTACCACAGCTCTGGAAAAGCAGCAACTCCTGAACGCAACTTTGCCGGACAGCAGTACGAAAGCATGGGGGTGTGGGAATGAGTCAAATGGGGGGAAAGTTGGGACAAGAATCTTTAGCAGACAAATAGTATGTATGTGTGCATGGGACAGAGACAGAGAGGAGAAAGGAGAGAAGCCCAGCTTCTGTTGTTGGAAATGCTCTAAGTTTAAAATTCAGCCCACAACCCATCCCATTCCCTTTCAGTAGAGTCCTGGCACTAGACTCGGGCTGTGGAAGCTTTTTGAGGGACCCCGAGTATAATTAGCATGGGAAGAAATACATGATATGTTTCAAGATCCTTGAATGCTTCTTAATCAAGTTACAGGGAGGAGGAGAGGTTCAAGCACCAAGCTGGTATTATTTTAATTCACCTAGTGGAAAATTATCGAAGCATATTTCACATAATTAGGGTCAAGAATGGATTTGGCATCATTTAAGGCAAATGCCCCAAACACAAAGCCAATTCGGTTGGCATGATTTCTAGTCTTGAGAACAGCAAGTCTGGCAATGATTAACCAGGCAGGAGGAAACAGTAGAGGGGCCACTGTTTGACCACCCTCTGCACAAACCAGGGCAAGGAATTATGGGACAGTGGCAATTAGCAGTCTGAGGGCTCACTGGAACACAGCAGACTGTTGTGGATAATGGCTTGTGCCTGGAACATCTCAGGAAGTTTTATGAATGTTAATTTAATTGTGCAATAGGCCAGGAAAGTAAGTGGTCCCTGTTGTGCAAACATAAGGCATGCTGGGAGCTGGGCCTCCTTGAGGCTCACCCAGTGTCCTGGGGTGAGTCGACTCTAGGTGCTGATGCTGTGAGATTTAAGAAGAGAAGACAAAGGAAAAAAAAAAGAGAGAAGAAAAGAAAAAAGAAGTAAACCTGCGTTATTGTCAACACAGCTGGTGAGCAGAAACTAGATCTGGAACAGAACCATGATGCTTAGCACAGATGCTTCCATTCAGGACCAAAAAAAAAAATTGTTCTGAGCCTTCAAGCTATTAGGCTGTGGCAATAAAGGGCAGCCATGAAATCGCCAAACCCCTAAACTTCATGGCATTCTTAGACCATAAGCCTCCAGTGAGCCCAGCTCCCAGTGTGTGGAAGTCTGGGGTCCAAGTGTGGTCACATCTCAGCTTGCCGGAGGATGCTATGAAGCCAGAGCCCAGAGGTACCTATGGCCTCCTTGACATTGCTTTGCTTCCCCCTTAGGCTACTGCCAGTAGATGACTTGAGGTTAAGACCGGCAGGCTTGTCTCCAGGCACACTCCAAGGGGAGCACTGGGAGGCAAAGTACCACATTCTGTAATGGATGGCAGAGCACATCGTGAGTGGATGGGAAAGGGAAGCCTCATAGACAGAGGTGACGTAGAGTAGGAGAGACCCAGATAACAGTGGCTTAAAGAAGATGGAAGTTACTTTTGTCTCCTGTAACGACCTGGACATAAGCTGTCAGGGCAGGTATGATGGTTTATGATGGAGGGACCCAGGCTCCTTCAGTCTTGTTCTCTACTGTCCCTAGGGTGTTGCTCTCATCTAAATGGTCCAAGATGACTCCTCTCCACCATGTGCAATTTCTCGCAGAAAAGGAGAAGCGGAGGGCACTCCTCTACCCGATAAGGGAGCAGACTGGATGTTCCACATCCCTTCCACTCACATCCCATTGGCCAGGAGATAGTCACGTGACCACACTCAACTGCAAGGGAGATGGGGAAACTTTTTTTTTCATGTTAAGAATTATTTCTATGGAAGCATGTGACAGCCAGTCCGAAGGAGTTGGATGTGATGGCTGCCAAGGCTTTGGTTCCATCTTAGAAGTCTCCCACCCCACTCTCCTCCATCAGTTGCTCTCCTCTTCAAACATCAGCAAGCATTTTTTTTTCCCTGGATGTAACTCCTTGTATTATGGTGACCACGTTCCACAATTACCTCCCTTAATATACTGGGGCTCCCCATAAATAAGAAGCGGCTCTAACATGTTTGGTGCTGTATGTGCTCAAAAATGCTTAAATCATCTCAAACACACAAATCCAGATTCACTTTGTTCTGGAGGGCGGTGACATGGATACATGAATGTGTGAGAGCAAATATGCAAATGGACAGTGGCCAGACCATATGTGACAGGAGGACTCTGCCCCACGTGAGAAGCCCAGGGAGCCAAACCACAGCCTCCGCAGCGAGGGGCCCCGAACAGAGTCAGAACTTGGTCAATAACTGTCAGCGTCCCTATTTTTGGCCACGCCCCCCTCCCACTGCCCCCACATTTGCTTCCAATTCAGTACCAAGCAGAGAAAAACAAGTCTCAGATTTGTTCCCCTAACCAATCATGTAGGATGCCCCTCTTCTGGTTACCTACCTCCAGCTTCCTCGTGCCAATAAACTCCAGTCAGGGCACACCTGAAACCTTCCACTATGAAGCTTTCTCACTCCTCTGCCTGCCTGTGCTGACTCCCTGGCCACAGCAAAGCTCTGAA